AAAAAAAAAAAAAAAAAAAAAAGAGAAAGAAATAGGGTGTGAATGCAGGAAAGGGAAGAAATGCAAAACTGAACAGCTAATTCAAGCCAGGGCTTGCAGGCTAACTGCAAGACAGTGTAATATATTTCATTTTTGTTTAAAAAGCAAGTACTGTAATCAGAAACTATTTCAATCACATCACTTAGAGACTGGAGTGAAAAATGGAATACTTTGGGCAATAAAAATGTATTTAATAGAAAATAAGCATGTCTATAACTAAAGACAATTCCTTTGTGTAAAAGAAAAACCCAACTTTTCACAGAAAGGAAATGTAAGAGCTCATTATACTATTAGGCAGAGGTACATATTAAGGGGAAGCATTAAAGACCAGGTCTGTGAAGCCATTGCAAGGCCCACACTGATCTGTAGGTCCATTTCTAAAGATGAAAATGGTATTTGAGATTTTGATCTAAAATCTCTAAATATATCCCACGTATATGACCATGTCAGGTAGTCACAGTACAACATAAAACCATTACTGGATCCACTTCCCACTTGGTCAACTGTAATCTGACTGTGAGGAGTAAAGAAAGAGGTTCTGAGCTAAGCAACAACAACAAAAAGCTGCAGGTGAAGGAACAAAAAGACTGGCAGGAAACAGTGGGGAGCACTGGGGAACCAGGTGCTTATACCTATAAACACAACCAGGGCCTTGCCTTTCAGGGGGTAAGGGCTCCAGGCAATTACCACGTCAGAACAAGAGCAAGGCCTCCTCAGACTCTCTTCTCTAAGATTCCCATTTTTTATTTTTTTGGGAAACCCCCTTCACTTAGAAGAGGAAGGTTCACATCCCAATTGGTTAAAGTCAAAATGTGGAACTACAGGGTGGGGCAAAAATAGGTTTAGAGTTGTTCATATGAGACATAATATAATAATTAATAAATAATAACACAAGAATAAACTCTGTGTTTCATGTACTCACAACTGTAAACCTACTTCTGCCCCACCTTGTGTACAGCTGCTGGAATGGGAAAGCTGATCCTGTTCTTCTGCACAAGGCATAAGCATGCAAGCATGTATGCACATACACATATAAACAAAGGAAGAAAGAAGCAAATACGGACCAGTGCTCATGCTTCCAACAGGAAAGAAGCACCAGCATGTCCATTCTTTCTACATTGCTAAGTGCGAGGGATAAACAACTCATGCCTTAGGAGGGGCCCTGGGCCTTGATTCCAATGGCAATATGTGAATATTGAATGAGCCAGTTCAAGAGTACAAAAACCATATCAACAGTGCAAAGTCAACCACATGGCAAATGCTGAGGGACTTTAATGAAAGAGGAAAAGCCAAGGGCAGAGGACATATGATGCAGGAGTTAAATTGATAAAGAAATATATAAATAAAATTAAAATACTATAACATGCATGCATTTACATATATATTATGGATCCTATGAATTTTTAGTAAATGATACTTGAGAATATCTCACTGGTAAGATGAAAGTCTGAGCATTTTATAATATAATTTTGTGAACATGGGTGGGTTTTTCAGGATTACCTATATACATTTCATTAAAACGGGTAACTCTTCTGTGTTCTTCTCCCTTGAATGCTTGCATACATGTGTTACAACTTTAGAAAAGGAGAAGAACCTGTAAATTGTTTCAAGAGATAACTCACAAGACAACTTTACAACGAAAGATTCAATTAAAAGCAGTGTTGTCCCAAAGTCTGATCTACTATGGTTGACATGGGGGAAATCTTACACCAGAACTTTTTATTGAGGTAGAAGGTAATCTGAAAGATCCAAAAAGATGGTCTACAATGTTGGATTGAATGAAGTACACTGTTGGGTCTGGAGTGGGGAAAGGGGAAGAAGTATTTCTGAGGTGAAAAGAAAAAAGTGAAATGTTGGTTTTGGAGCAGTAGGTAAGAGCAACTCTGGTATTAAAATTAAAAGGAACCAGACACATGTGGATGGTATTTGGTTGCTGACAAACTTCCTTAGAATTGCTTGGAGGATCTGGCTAGGTTCACAGGAAAAGGTTTATTCAGAATGGAAAAGAAAGGATGTAGACACCAAATGATTCACACTGCTGAATGAACGAATGATCCAATTACCTGAGGAGGTAGGGTCTTCGGAGAAATCTGGCAACTCTTCGGGGGGATCCCCATAGAATGAGTTGAATTTGTGACTTGACACAGCTGCTAGTACTGCACCCTAAAGCAAAGAGATGAAAAAAATATTACAACAAATACATAAATATAAAGTTAATTAACAAATGGTTACTTAATGATCATTCAGAAAGTCAAATATATAGGAGATGACAGCTGGAAAAGGGGTAGCTTTTAAATAATTTTCGGTTCCTTCGAAGCAGTCACATGTGCATACACCACAGTAACACTGTCGGGGACCGCAAAGGTGTATGCAACCACTTACATCTGGAACTCAAACACATACCACAAATGGAATAGTCTGCAGCTTCTATAAAATGATGCTGCAGAAGAATGTCTCATGAAACGGAAAGATGCTTGCGATGAATTACATAAAAAAGCTTTTAAAACAATCTACAGTATGATCTCATTTTTTTGGGGGGAAAAAAAGGTTAATATAGATATAAGAGACTGAACATAAACCAAACTGTTATTAGTGATAATTATCTCTGGGTAGTAGGAATGAGTCATTTTTCTTTTTTAAGCTTTTCCCCGCCTTTCCTTTTGATGTTAACAATATCTATGTGTTACTCTTGTATAGCATTTCTCAATCAGGCCACACAGAAGAATCAACTACACATGACTCTGTTACACCACATGCTTAGCCTCTCCCAATTCCTAGTTGAGTCATATTGAGTGCATGACATCCCTTTGGACGCTTGGGTGGAACATGGCTGGGAATTATTGTTTCAGTAACAAGAAAAACCACAAAAATTATTTTGTAAAATGTGTTCAGTTTTGCGGGTGTGTTCCTTGGCTCTGCCACTTTCTGGTTGAGGAGGCTACTTGAGCCAATCATTTAACCTCTTCAGGTTTTCTCCTTTGTAAAGTGAGGATATTAAAACTGACATCACTTACCTTATGGGATTGTCGAAAGTCATAATGTATATGAAAGTGCTTGCAAAGTGTAGAGCATTTTGTAAATGCAAATCCTTACTAACCCTACTAACATACAGCTAGAACGTGAGCACAACCTTTTGCTGGTCTAGGCAAGAAACACTCATTTAGGTAATCTAAGTATAAATTCACTCAAGTAGTCCTAAGTTTAAAATATTGAACTCTTGTGTGTTTTTTTTTTTTTTTT